TTGGGGGTCCCTGTCCAGGAACCTGGACCTATGTGGAACTGTTTGTAAGTCAGCTAGCCTATGTGTGGGACTGTATACATCATACAGACTCATGTTCGAACAATCAAGATTCTTTTTGGACATGAATACCAAAGAACCGCAACACTGATTATATAGAAAATCAGATACTGTCTCACTTCGTACAGAATCCTTGGCCGTCTCACTCTTTCACCGGCCCAACAATTTTTTTTTTTGCGACCTCCAGGTGCAGCTGCACTCTTCAGCGGTGCTAGCTTCGTAGCAGCACCCACTACAAGCCACCTTCGAGTCGCTTGTTCGATCCAGTTCAAAGCGGTTTGAGTCCTGGGAAAGGCGCGAAGGCAATGTGCGGTTGTTTGATCTAAGTTCCTTCAGTAGAAACAAAAAAGTCAGATGCCCCGACTCGTATGTATACATGTATATATAGATATGTATTCATTCTCATTGCAATTTTTTAAATCTTATCTTCTCCATATACCTTAGATTGTCCTAGATGTAGGCCCTTTGATGCACAGATGTAGTTACAACTAATTGCAGGTCAATAACTTCATGGCTGCCCCGGGAGACGGAACAGTATGGCGACATCAAGTCCCTCCAACACCACTTGTCACTCAAGAGAGTCCGGTTGTTTTGTGCCACAGATCTGAAGGATGTCTCTTCAGAGTGGCCCAAGCCATCAAAGTCGTCGACAACCATGGTTGGTTTTTTGCAGGTTTCCTACGCTGGATGCCCTCCTAAGGATTTTGGGGCCACCCGCGTGTCAATCCAACCTGGGACTTGCTCGCGTTCGTATGGAAAGCTAGGCCTCTACCACAGCCTCTGCGGCATCTACACCTTGTCTGCAGGCATGGGATCAATGTTTTAGTTGGACCGTCTTGGAGTGTGTCATTTTCAGCACTCAATTTCAGGCTGCCTCCAGCAAAACAGCTTCTCTTGCAGTGGCTGGTGCCGCATTTGCTGCTCTGACTGCCAGCGGCCGCAAGGTCTGGATCTCAAGGGATCTCCGACCGTGATGAAATGAGATCAACTCGTAAGAGAAACACCTTTGGGTTTGAATTCAAGTACGGAGAGGATCTCCCTGCTTCAATCTGTACCCAAATTTTGGTGTCAAGATGTGTCGTGTCAATCTGCCATGACGGTCTGAGGCACTTGGTAGCGTCAAGCCACAGCTGGTGCGCCGGACTGGGGGAAAGCAAGAGACCGTGGTGTGCATATTTGGATTCTCCTGCTGATTCCACCGGTATATATGTATATGTAGCATTGCCTTCTGGTCTCAAATAAATGGTCTTTGACAGGTTAAGACATCTATAGACAAAAGACAAGTGTAGCTTTACATCTTTCACTTTTTTTTCACATTTATGTAAGAAGACACCTTACAAGCCTGCTGGTACTGACAGGTCACCCTCAGTGCATTCGAGAACGAGCTGGGTGTTCAGGAGCCAGTGGGATTTTGG